AGAGAGAGAGAGAGAGAGAGAGAGAGAGAGAGAGAGAGAGAGAGAGAGAGAGAGAGAAAGACTAAGCAGCAGCTACTGCATTTGTTCGTGTTCAGATTGCTCCGTAATAAAACAAATGTTTACAATTGACGATGGCTTAAAACCTGAGCAAACCTTTCTGCAGATGAAAGCAACAGTCCAAATAGGATTTTGGCCTTTTTCAGGCTGGTCCTTCCTTGCCTCAAGCAAGACTGTCACCACTCAGCCGAGGCGCTTACCATTATCTCCTCCTCCGAAGGACCAAACCGTCCGCCCATCTTTGGACAGGGCTATGGTGTGAGAGCTGCCGCAGGAGACTTCTCCAACGTTGCTAATATCTTTGACGAGCGTTGGGATGTTACGGCTGTTGCTGTCACCGTGACCTTGTGAGAGAAAGTGGATTTACAAGGCTGTGTCTCTTTATGCCTCGCATTCTACCAGGCGTACCTTAAGAGCCAGTTTCTAACCTCTTTTAAACGAATTCTTTTTAATTAGCGCTGTTTAAAGGAGGTGGGAAATGAGATTAGTCCTCTTACCTAGCCGGCCAAAGTCTCCTTCTCCCCAGGTGTACAATTCACCATCCTCGGTCACAGCAGCACTATGCCGGTAGCCGGCTGATACACAAATCACCACCTGGATAAGAGGGGAAGAAAGTTCTCCCTTTAGACTCCGGCCCCACATGCAGAAGCTCCTTCATGAACTGGGCGACAGGATGGCGACGTGCACAAAAGGACAGAAGCAGAGGAACAAAAGCCTCAGGTACGTGAACAAAGGCAGGCGGTGGCTTCATTGCTACGGCATACCTTTCCCTGCAAAGGTCCCTGGATCAGCTTGGGGTATTTCTGGGTGGAGCTATTTCCGTGGCCCAGTTTCCCGTAGTCGCCGTCCCCCCAGCTGAAGACTTCTCCTTCGGTGGTGAACGCCAGCGTGTGGCCATCTGAGCCTTTTGAAGAAGACACCTTTTTGATGGACCGGTGAGGCTCAAAAGTCAACTTCTTCAGAGTGGACTGATTGTTGGAGTCACCCAGTCCCAGCCGGCCATAGCTGCCTTTGCCACAAGCTCGAACGGACCCGTCCGTGGATATGACGAAGGTGCAATACTGGCCAGCTTCAATCTATGGCGGGGACAAAAAAAACAAGAGACTTAGTGTCAGCACCTCTTCATTGGGTAATTAGGAAAGAAGACCACGAGACTTCATAGGTAGAAATCAAGTGTACTTTTACTAATTATAAATGATTAAAGGCGTAGCGAAGCGAAGTCTGATTAT